GGGGGGGGATTAGGAAGGAATTGCCTTTTTTTGTACTGTAAATGTAAGTGAATATTTACTAAAATTGCTGTGATTTTGATTTTTTTAAACATATGTTACTAGTCTGTAATTTTATATTTACATCTTTAGTATCTTGATTGACTGATTTTTTTGTGTGAATATATTTGTATTTTATTGATTTGCAATCCCTTTCTCACTGCTTATAAACCTACACCAAAACAGCATTTAGGTTAAAGAAAAGGGCCCGGAGGGGGGATCAGTCCGATCGCTCCAACCGAGCGTTCAAACCAAGTGCCCAAAGCGCGCGCCGCCGCCTGACCGGAAGCGGACAGTGATTGGGCCTGCTATACTCGCGTCGCCACGACGATCCAGGATCCAGCATTAGCTTGTGCTTTTGTGCTACTGTAGCTATTTCACCGTTTTTCACAGAGTGTTCCTGCGCATTGATCATCTAAAAGCTGTGCCGCAAAGGTAGGTCTGTCAGCGCACGAAGTTCAGGAGCGGTTTGCACGCCCAGCCGGCTTCCTGCAATTGCCCCAAATCAGAGAAATCGATTTGGTGTTTGTTTCTAACCTCTGCCGAATCGACGGGAAAGACTCGTAGAGAATTGTTTTGTTATTGCTGAGCTGGTTTTGCTCGTAATATAACATTTTATTTCAATTTGTTGTACACGGTATACAAAATCATTGTTAAAAGGACTTATAGCTTTACATTGACTGAACTCTAACTACCAGCCCAGCCCGTTCCATCCCATCTAGCACTTTGGGTTGAGCACTATCTAGAAATAGAAATATCTAAGAAATGTAATTCAATTTTATCACCTTCGAAATGGTAGGAATATACTGCAACATATCTGAAGTGTTGTCATACATTTTGGTATAAGGAAGAACAAGATAAGAAATTGATAATGATGATGAAGTGCAGTTTCGAACAGAACCCAATGTGAAGTGGTAGTGATAATACGTGTGAAAAGTGAAATGTCTTAAGGAAAACACAGAACAAAACAGTGCTGATGAGTACTGTCTACTTGTTTTTTATCATACTAGGTTAACGAAAATTTGTGGGACTATTGAGTAACTAAAACTAAATTCAAGATTCTCCGCAAAACTTCCCCTGGGTAACACGGTTCACAACTTCCAACTTCCTTGATAAGTAGACTAAGACACTACAATATTTGGTTCAACATCTGCTATCCTATCCAGATATTATGACATATGTCACTTAAACATTTGCTCTAATAAATCGATTTGAACGTACTAGAGTTGTAAAATGCTGTGTTAAGAGGTCCTTTAATCCAGTCCCTAAAAATGTATTAGCTTCTTCCTTCTCTTCTTGTTTTTAGGCTCAGCGGAATGGTCTATTGCATGTATCCGTCTTTTATTCAAATGGATGCTATCTCTTTTGCACCGACCGAACCGGACAGACCGACTTGGGGATGATTTGGGATGGGACCCACCCCCAGGGCGCGCGCCGAGGGTTCCTTCACTATAAATTGTAGCGTACACCGACTTTTCTGTTTTCATTGATTTTTTCTGATTTTCTGAAAATTTTTTCCTGATTTTCTCTTGATTTTTTGTAAAAAAATTTTCTTGCTTTTCGTTAAATTTTTTTATTATTT